GCAGCCGCAGATAATTCACAAAGCAGATGACTGAAACTGTCTTGAAGGCCGGCCCTGGTCCTTGCAGAAATGGAGACCCACCAAACCAGGAGCTGGATCTAGGGCTGGAACTTGGTGGGCCCCTGGCTTGTCCCAGATATGTGAACTGAGCTCATCTGGAAAGAATTTTGTAAACAGTTCCTTTCTTTGAATCGGTAATAATCCAATTTTCAGGCATAGGAACTAGAGGTGGGCCCTCATTGTCCTGGCTCTAGCCTTTTGCCTCAGGTCCAGTGACATCACTCAGGGACAACACAGAAAGTATTGGACTAGACTTCCATACCTTTTCTAGACCTAAAGTGAGGCTGTTCTAATTCCCACCACTTCCCCACCCTCCATGCCTAATTCTACTGTCAGCCCAGCCCCTTCTGACCACAGTTGGGCAGAGCCACGTGCTGGCCAGACAGCAAGCATCTCGCCTGTCTTGCTTTAGAACCCTAAGGAAAAGGTATACAGCAGCTTTGGGTCCAACCGTGGCAGGTGAGAGGAATTACCTGTAGCATCCATCTCTGTTAAGATCTCCAGGATAAGATTCTCAGACTTTTCCAGGTCAGCCATCAAACTGTTTTACTGATGGGCAGGAAGTTTCTCTGTTTATTCAATGTGAAAGACCACCAACCTTCATTCAAGTGCACCTCCTCTTGCCGTCCTCAGTGAGATTGTGTCCTCGCAGTTCTGCCTCCCATTCCCAGGAGTCCTTTCTTCAGGCCCAAGATGATTAAATGCCCCAAATGGATAAATTGGGTCCTTTTGTAAATCCCCTCCTGATTCATATGGCGATCGAATTGCATTTTCATGTATCAGGTTTTCCTAAATCTGCATGTGGTACCTGCCTTGTTGGGCTCTGCATGCATAACTATTTCAGAAATAGGGTATATTTGTTTTAAACTTGACAACTTACAGAGCACTTTCTCTTTTTCATTCTTGAAGCAGCCCCGTGAGTCAGATTGAATAAGGAAAGCATCACTCACTTGCTGCAGATGAGGACTTGGGCTTGTGAGCAGCTTAGCCCAAGGCACCTGACTGTAAGAGCAGAGCTGGGGTCACAGTCAGGTCTTCTCCCTCCGAGTCCCGTGCTCCCTTTCTCGACATCATTGCTGCCTCTGCGGGTGCCACCTTGACAGGGAAAGCCCAGAGGACAGTGGGGAGTAGGGATGAGGGGCAGAGAGAAACCTGCCTAGGATTAAGCGGCTGCCATGGACACTGCTAATGAAATGAACCTGATCACTAAAATGAGGCCCCAGACTGCCGCCCTAGAGCAGAGCTTGTCCCAAGCCACTTAATGCTCGTAGCTCCTGCTGCAAAAATGCCAAGATGTTTGCAAGACGTTGTCCTCTTCTGGGACGGCAGTCATAATATCCAATTTATAAACCTCAGCACTGTTTATTTATTCAACAAATTGTACTCCCTCCCCACATCCCCCACACACACACCCTAGCTGAGCAGTAGACAAGGTGCCCTTGATCACCAAGAGCCACAGCCCATTCCCTCTTCCCGAGCTGATCCTAGTATATAGGACCGATTCTGGCCCCTCAAAATAAGTCTCCATGCCTTGGGAAAGACACCCTTCGCTTAGAAAGATCATTGAGAATAGACTAGAGAATGACTTTTACAGAAAGCACCCTCAGGTCAGAGATTTGGCTTCATGCTTTCCCCCACCCCCCAACCCTACTCCCCACCTCAGAGGGAGACAGAGTTCTCAAATGACCCCCTTTCCTGTGTAGCCAGCCAGCGTTCAGTATGTGGAGTTACGCTGACTTTGCGAAAGAAGGAAATTGCTTTGTCCCTAATGCCTTCCCACTGTCAGACGGCAGGAACAGCTCCTGACAAGTTTATGTGCCAAGTGGCAGTCCCTGTTCTCTCCTAAGCAGCGAGAGCCGTTGCTTTTTATGAGGCTTCTCAAAGATGCATGGGTTTCCAGATGGCTTGTTCCGGGACTTTTTAACATGCTTTCTGGAGCCTGGGTCTTCTGCTCACCGAGAAAGACAGAAGTGTTGACTGTGGAAAATAGAGGCTCCTCTCTTCCGTGTGCCCAGCCCTCAAAGGTGCAGGTTCCACTGCCCAGAAGCGTAGCTAGATAAAGGGGACCAGCCCAGAACTGGGTGCTTATTGCCTGCTGGCTGCGCCCTCTAGTGGGGACCCAGGAACCCTGTCTTTCACCCCCAACTAGGAGATATCTGCAAGGTGACTTTGAGCTGCGGCTGGGGCATTGTGATGAGCAAGAGCGTAATATAAACGGGACTTGGGATTTGAAAGCTGCATTCTAATACAGTGTCTTCTCCTCGGTGATTTTAGTGTCGTTTGATGGAGGATGACTGAGAAAGGAGGGGTGATATAGACCTCAGATGAGCTGCTTATTGTGAAATTCCCTTCAGGCCGACTCAGAAGCCACAGGCCTCCCTGCACACAGGAATGGGAGAGGTTGCCAAGGACAGGCAGACTACCAACACCCTCTTGTCTCCTAAGCCTATGGAAGGGGGAGCATTTCTGGACAGCACCCTTCCGTGGGCACACTACATCCTGTCTCCAAGGCTGCTTCTGCTGGCGAGATTAGTCTCTAGGAGGCTTTCCTGCTGGAAGAAACCTAACCCTAAACCTGCTTCTCCCCACTCACTAGTTAGATGGCCGCCCAACGTCTTCCTGGGTCCACATCCAGCCAGACAAGAAAGAAGCCAAGAAATCTTTCCTTCCATCTTCTACCGTGCCTCCTTGTGCTCACCCCATCCTGTTACCCTCAGATGGAACAGGCTAATCAGTTCATTTGTATAGGGAGGGATTTCAGCTGCCTGGACAAAACCAGGAATCCAAGCTTCTTCTGTTTTCCTGAGCTCAGAAGAAAAGAGTGTGTTAGACTAAGGTAATTCTAATACAGTGTCTTCTCCTCGGCTTGATATTTGGCTTCATGAGGGAGAGGGCCAAATGTTATCTGCAAGTTGCATCTTCCATATTCAAAAATCTCAGTCTCTTTTGTCTGCCAGTGCATTCCCAAATCAGCCATTCACTTGCTCTAAGCCTCTGTAATTTATTTTTTTCTTTTTCTCTTTAACCTGCTCTTTCCATTGGCCAGTTTATTCATTTCTCAGCTACAGCTTCAAAGGGGCTCACCTTCGGGCTTCCCGCCCCAAGGGCATCCAGAGGGGGAGCAGTTTCGTTTTCTCTGCTGAGTCAGGAGCCAGGCCCAGCTTGATTTGGTCTCCTGTGTTTCTTTGTATCTCTGTCTCGATCTCCTGCCAGTCTGCCTTGGGTGCCTGTCAGTCTCTTCCCATCCCTGTGACAAGCAGGTGAAAATTCATCCACTTCTGGCTCTTCCAGGCCCACCAGAACTGAGGGCCTCAAACCAAGAGAAAGGGAGGGGCCAAAGCCAGGAGTGACCCCACCTGCGTGGATGTTCTTTGCCTCTGCCATTGAAGGAAGCTGGTCACAGGGCAGACGGGGAAAGGCCAAGGAAAGCAGAAGGGAGAAGTGATTGTTACAAGGAGCTGCCCTTTGGAGCCACAGACCTGAAAGTGGGACGCTCAGAATGTCTGTTCTTGAAGACATGTTAGCCGTAGCCCAAGAGTAGCCAGGCCAGACTCACCTTGAGGCTTCAAAATCAGTAAGAACTTCCTTTCACAATAAAAAAAAATATTTCCCATTTTGGAAAAGAAAATAAAGTTTAAACTATTCAGGGGAAATAAAACTCAGACAAAATTAACTGGTTAACCTGGTTGACAGGCCGCGGCCCTCATTAGGGTCAGAATGATGGGACTGTGGGGGGCGGGGGGCCGAGGCAGTGTCGCTTTCTGCTGCCCCCTGATCTGTAACCCCACCACTCTGGATTTGTGCGTGTCAAGTCCCCTCTCTTTGTAGCAAAGGTATATCCTGAGCTTGCTGCTCTCAGTCTGGAGTTGGTATTGCAGGGTGACTAAGGGAAAGCAGGCATTTTGGTCAGCTATGGTTTAGCTATGAATTGGTTCAGTCGGTATGTTTTACACTCATACTTCTTTGTCTTTTTTTTTAAACAAAAGGAAAAAAGTTTAAGTCCCCCCTTTCCTTCTTCTGCAGGAGGTGAGTGTGTGGGTGTCCTATAGAACCATTGGCTTCCACCCCAGCTCTGGCCCCAGCCTCCAGGTTTACCATTCCCACCCATCCCTCCCTCCATCCCCTTCTCTCCACCCCAAAAGGAAACCCTCTGCCCCCATCATTACTGTTATGTCAAGATGCCCAAACTCTCCATGACATATCCCATCCTCCGACCACGTTCAGTATTGATGACTTTCATGCAGGGATATGGATGGGAGGGGTGGGAAGGGAGGGAGTAGCCAGTGGGGAGGGGGGAATGGTGGGGGTGGGATGGAGAATGGAGATCTTTTTTGTCTTTTTTTTAAAAAACAAAACAAATTTGTCATTTAATGGATCCAGAAACAAAAAGCAAAAGTGAAACACACACACAAAAAAAAGATCAAAAATCCCCTCTGCAAAGATTTTTTTTTTTCCTGGACACAAATTGCTTTGCTTCCTGTCACGTTTTAATATCAATATTAACACAATGTGTAGTCTAAACCTAGTTCCTTTGTAGTTTGCATGGGATGTGAATGCTGTCTCAACGTGCCCAGATCTAGAAGACTGCATGAGCATCAATTCAGATGTGAAAAAAAAAAAAAAACTCTTTCTCTTTCTCTCTCTCTCTTCCATATATATCTCTATTTCTATTGTGATAATTTGGTGGGCAGTGAAGCACCTCCGGTTGGTTGCCGTAGTGTGTTGAATGATCGTTTTTTTATTCTCTCTATTTTTGGAGCTCCAAGCTTCTTAGTAGTAGCCTGGGCTGAGTATTCTTGAGTCCCTGCTGATGTTTTCGCATGGCCTTGGTTGAGTGTTAGAAGTTGGGCCTCAGCTGTTTTTCTGAAGTGTTTGGCTTGTAATGATCGGTGCATGCCTGGCTTCTGGCCTCATACCCAGCTCTATTCTCTGCACACCAGTCCTGAATAGCTACAGTGCTCAACCGAATTTTGGCGCGCCCGCTTCCCCGGCAGGCTCCAACCCGGCGCGGCCCGGAGGCTTCCCGGGGGCCAACAGCCCAGGACCTGTCGCCGATCTCTACGGCCCTGCCAGCCAGGACTCCGGAGTGGGGAATTACATAAGTGCGGCCAGCCCACAGCCGGGCTCGGGGTTCGGCCACGGCATAGCTGTAAGTACCTGCCTTCCCCTGCCCTCCTGCCTCCTTCCTGACCAGTTCCCCATGGCCTGTGGGTGGTCCAGGAAAGCCCAGAATCGGGGGCAGAGGAGAGGGCAGAGGGTCCCCATCAGCATTACACCAAGCTCCCGAGGGCTGAAGCCTCCGTCACCTTAGACGTCCCGAGTGCCTCTCGTGTGGCTACATGATAGAGCAGAAGGAGCGAGGGCAGGTTGGGTTTAGATCACCATTCCATCACCTTCACACTGTGCAGCCTTGAGCCACTTCCATAACCCATCTGAATGTCCTTTCCCTGGCTGCAAAACCAGAAGCAGTATGCTTTCCTCAAAAGATTGTGGGAGGATTATTCAACATAACGTCACGTGCTGGCACATAATAGGGCCTCAGTAGCGGCCACCTTCCTTAATCCCCGCTTTCTGGACACTGTCATGTAGGCTGGGACCTGAGAGCTGGGAAATGTCCCAACTCCCCCACAGAGTAGCAGCCTTAGTCCGTAGAGCCCCTGGTCGAAGGTCCAGTGGCAGCACTGGAGCCTGGGAGGTGGTGTGGGGGTCCAAGCCCTCTCCCAGGCAGTTTCCTTTGCTAATGTTTCTTACAGCTTCCAGGTTCCAAGTAAGTTCCCATTTGCATTGTTTAGCTGCAGCCCCCACCCCTTGAAGGCCAGATGCATTTGATATTTGTAATGCTCTGTGGTTCTATAATCTGACTAATCCAGGCAATGGAAATTTGCTTAACAGATTTGCATGCTGTTTTCAGATTGTATTGTTCTTCTCCCTCCCGGTGTGTGTGAGCATGAATGTGCCTGAGCCCACTTGCTCGCTGTCCCTTCCATTTTGGAAACAGAAAATTGGCCAACCTTTGCCCTAGCCAACCTCAGCATTTTGGAGGCAGCTTGGTTTTGAGCTAAGATGGGTGCGTCTGCAGTCCCAGGCCATGCTCCTGTCACACTCTGTTTCTGGGCAACAGTTGGCAAGCCCTGCCTTCAGTGCCACGCTGCAGAGAACAAATCATGTGCAGAGAGTCTAAGGCACCATGATAGCCTCATTCATGCCCCCTGGCATTGGGAGCCACACACACACACACACACACACACACACACACACACACACGCACACACACACGTCTGCCAGCCCTGACCTGTGCCGTCTGGGTCCTTGTTCAGTTCCACTGCAAGCCAGTATCACTTATGTCAGTAGTTTGATGAATCTAATCCCCTCTGATCAACTGTGGTACCAAATCCAGAATATTATTATTCACCTGTCAGCTGCTCAATTTAGGGGACCATCTATCACCACTTAGAGCACAACGCATTTCCATATTCAGCATCCAGAAACACAGACTCGATGTGTTGTTGAAAACCAGGGTCTTTTGACCTTTGGCCTATGATGTTTTTCTGAAATAATCAGAAAGCATCCCAGTTTGTCTGCACTGAGATTTCTTCTCCCCAGCTGGAGCCACTGGGACTGTGGACAGAGACTTATCTTTGCACTCTGGGGTTCAGGGCAACCGTGTCCATCATTTGGGGCACAAATCCACCCCAAATGGATTTTTTCCCACCATCCACCACGCCTCTGAATCTGGCTTTTGGTGTTCCCCTAGGTAAGCAGACAGGCTTGGTAGGGGCGGGGGAGTGGGGATTAGGGGGTTGGAGCTGGGGAGGATGTCATCCTTGCCCCTCATGGCACAGTGTCTCAGAATTACATATTCATGCTGGCAACCACAGAACTAGTCCTAGAGATAATTTCCTTTCTCAGAATGTGACAATCTGTTCCCATGTATAGCGCACTGATGACCTTAACAATTGTGCAATTTTAGGGACCTTTGATTGCAACGGCCTTTACAAATGGATACCATTGAGCAGGTGCTTTCGTTGCCATCTCACTCTGAGGTATTACCGTCTCTGCCATGTGTCTCTGCCCTGCCGGTGTGTCCGTACATGTATGTCCATGGGTCATACATGCACGCGCGTGCCCTGTCTCATCACATCCACATCTCTCTCTCCTCTTTCTGGATCCCTTTTCAGGAGGGCGGGGGCAAAAACAAATCCAGTCTTTTAATCTCTCATCCCTTCCTCCAGCTTTTAATCATGACCCCATCTTTTTGACTCTCTTTTTTTCTTGATTTCGTTCTTTGGATTCTTTCTCTGTATCTTCCCCACCCTTCATCTTTCTCTGTCTTGAAATACAATCAAGAGTGTGGGAAACTGGAAGGAGATCTTGTGCTGCACCCGTCCCAGGGGGATGGAGGCAGGGAAGCATTGGGCTTCTGCTAGGCCTGGAAGCAGCGATGGAGGCTAGGGCCGCCCACTCCTGGAGGTCCTTTGAGCTGACCCTGTGGGTTGTTGGGCCCCTGCAGCTCTCCCAGGCTTGCTGGGGCCCAGCCAATGGGGTTTATGCAGTCAAACAGCCAGACTCCATCTTTTAGTGAAAAGAAAACATTTTTGCCAGTAACTACTGACCTTAATTATCCAGATTACCACCCAAAAAAGCAAATTAAATTAACAACATCACCTGTGTAACGTGGATTTGGATCCCTGCCAGTTTCCTAACCTTTTAAACTGAGCTTAAGTTAATTAAACACTTTTCAAATTACTTTGATGGGGATGTGGAGGGGATGGAACAGAGGAGAGGGAGGTTGGGGCAGTGAGGAAGCCCCTTGCCACACACTTTTTTGGAAATGAGTATCTGTCCTTGGAAAGAGCACCAGCAAGGGAGAGGGCTTGCCTTGCGAAAGCACTAGGTGCGTACTGTGTCAGCACATTAGTTTGTGAGGTTAGAACATGGCTCTGTGTCCGTAAAAGCGAGGGTGACAACTGAGGCCAAGGAATGGATCCCACTCAGAAAATCCCACCGGGGCACGAGAGCCTTTCACTCTTACAGTTGGCATGCAGGAGAAGCCAGGCTGGAGATGAACTGGCCACTTTGGGCTTGCACTTAATTGGATGCCCCTCTCGTAGAGAGGGATTGCTCCTGGCTCCTGAGTCGGACCAGTTGGAGAGCTGAGTTGAGTTGAGCTCCATAAATCTCTTGGATTTCTCTAATGTTGCTGCTAAGGGATCACTCAACTAACGCAACTGCCTCTGTTAACCAAATAAACCATGTGTGTGAATTCTCCCACCCCTCACCTCCACTTCCCCTTGAGCACTGACCCAGCCATTGCTGGCCAGAGCCAGAGGCCACTAACAGTTTGAAGGAAAGCTACTCACTACTAATTAAGCTGGGTTTGGGGGCCCAGAGGAAGTCAAGTTTCTCTGAGAGCAGGGACAGCTGACATAACCAAGAACTCTGGAGACTGAAGATGGCTCCAGCCCTTTGTGGAGTCAGATGAAGAGGGGATTAAACAACTACCAGGCACAGCAGACCCTTGAAAGGCCAGACACTGGGGCTGCCGGTGCTCCTCCCTACCTCCCCTGGAAGAGAAGGAATGGTGTAGGGCTTCTTGCCCACAGCTCCATGCACTCCCAAGGCCACTAAAGCCTTTCTGTAGGGGTGGGGCAGAGTGGAATAGGATAGGGGAGGCTGCTACCAGCCCATTCTTCCTCATCTAAGTCCAGGACTCAATTTCCAGAGGGCGAAGTAGCCAAGAGTGTGATAGCAACTCACCCACTTCCAAATGGATTAAGTGAGCTAATAGAGTCACATGGCGGCACTGCAGCAGTTAGGAAGGACTGGTCAAACACGCCCATTGTCCCCAACACAGGTGACCCTCTGACACTCAGCGCCATCCACAAAAGAGGAGCCCAGGCCTCCCCTCCGCCCCCCGTCAATTCAGGGAGACTCAATGAATAAATCTGTGAATCCTGGGCCTGTTTTGTTTCCTGTAACCAGAGCTGGTTATTTGTTGTAATGTTTTAAGTGTCTTGACCTTTAGTTTTTGGTATATATATGATCTTTTAGTGTAAGTTTGCATTTAATAGTTATTGATGGGTATCTAATAAAGGCAAAAGTTTGTGGGGTTTTTTGTTTTTTTTTGTTTTGTTTTGTTTTTTTAACATTTAGCTTTGAAAACAGAAGATTAAACAGAAAAAAGGTATCTCTGGTCAATGTGCAGTTTGCCTGACTGGCTGCAATCCCTGTGACTACATGTCCCACCGTTAACCTCAAGAATCCTACGGTACTGCATCCAATCAGCAAGATGAGCTGTAGCCTTGTCCTCTCCCCCGTGTCAGGCGTGGTTGAAATGTCAGATTTCCCAAGCTGTGATCTCAGCAAGCTTCTAGCCAGGCTATTTTCACACGTATCCAGTAGTCCCATGACATCCATCTTTGAAACTCTACTTGAAACAGTGGAATAAATCACATACTTGTCTGACACTTCTTTCTCCTCCCCCCCTCCCCTCCACTTTCTGTTCTCTTCTGGACATCCTGGCCTTCCCCGCCCTGCAGAGCATACCTGGATGTCCAGGCAAGACTGGGCGAAGTTTCTGAGTGGCCCTTTGTTTAGGTGATGTCCGCAGACCTGGACCCCCACCAGCCTCACTCCCCATCCCAACCAGAGATGGTTCACTTCGGATCGAGGGTTGACTACATCTCATCATCTCATGAATCTGCTGTGATATAAGCCAACAGCTTTTAAATGTGTATATAACCCATGATTTTGGTTTTGTTCTGTTTTGTTTTTCTTGGTGGTCTCCCTCTCCCTTCCTCTCTTCCCATTCTCCTTTTAAATCTCTTTGAATCACATTTGGTAGTGATTTTGACTTAGTCCAGTAGTCACATAGCTTTAATATCTAGTTCAAAGCTAACCATAGTATAATTGTTATATTAAGGAGTTATTTTTTTTCTTAAAAAATTTATTTTGCTTGTTTTGGTTCTGTTCTCACTTTTAAAGGATGCTGAGATGGTAATATTACTCTCCATATTTTGGTACCAATTCTGAGACTGTATGAATTTTCAGGTGGAACTTTAGCACACACTGAAGCAAAGTTGTAAAGTGCGGGGCGGGAGGTGGGCATGAGTTTTCTATTTTGCGTTGTAGGAGAAGTGAGATGTAGTGAGCTAATTAACAGACTCTCTAGCAGTTCTTTTTGTGATGTCTCTTTGTTAATCTGAGTATATCTATTTTCGGCAATAAGGTAAGGACGACAGTGTTTTGAGTGTCCTCCTTTTCTATAAGTGCTTTTTTTCTGTTGAAAGAGGTGATATTATAAGGTTTTTTGAAATTGTGAATTCTAAAAAGAAATGTTGTAAATACAATTCCATTAACTACATAGAAACTATTAAGAAAGAGAGAATCAAAAATATTTTTGTGAGGGAGTCGGTCCCAGGCAGTTTGATGCTCTGTGGAAGGAGGCGGGAAGGGAATGTTGGCCAAGTCAGTTACTGAGATGAAGAACGCCCAGCTGCCAGGACCACCCCAGGACAAGTTAGAGCACTGTTTAGCTCCTTTGTCTGTGTGATAGACCTAAGAACTGTATTAGTGTCGTACCAGCCTATTAACCTCTCGTCTGTGCACAGCTTCAAATGTTACTGTCTAGTTAGATTTTTATTTAAAATATGAAAAACTGCTTTTCCCAAGACGTTTTTTAAAAACAAAGCTACAATTTTAATATTTAACATATTTAAAGTTTCAAAGCACACCTGTTTGGCTTGGGTGGGGGTGGGGTGGGGGGGGCATCCTTTTTCAGTCTTAATTTTTAAATATTTGATCATTTTCTATTGTCCAATCATTTCAGCACCTCCAAAGGTCCCTAGGACACTTTGCCTCTCTTCTCCCCCTGCCCCCCACCCCGCTCCCAGATATGGGCGCCCATGGGCCAGGAGTGGATAAGCCTGCATTAATATAACCTTTCTCCATTCACTTTCTATTTACAAATTAGGAAGGTAACCTTTTGGTTTATATATTTTTTTTAATACCTCAGTGCTGCAAGTATCACCAGAGAGGCTATGGAAGAATTTTTTTTTAATTTATTGTAGATGTAAACAGAATTTTAAAAATAAAAAGTATAAACATCACTGCACTGTGACTGGTGGGAAAAACTGACAGTTTCCTCTTTGCACATGTTTAGCATTTGGCTGTTATAATATATGGTCCTCGGTTGGGGAAAGATACTTATGATGAAGGATATTTTTTAATTTAACTTTTTTTTAAATATTGGTAATAGGTCGGCAACAGCAACTATAGAAGTACAACTCAATAGATGGCATTAAAACATATTGTAGTGTGGATATATATTTTTCTTTTTTAAAATGTGATATTGACGTTTTATTAATATTTTTTAAATTGTTACGTTTATAAATTTGGTACTTAAGGCACAGCCAGTATGAGACACTGAATGCGACATTTATTATAAAGAGCTGCTGCACTCCTATTTTTATAAATTTTACTAACAAAGTAGACTAATGTAGACATTCACAGACATGGTAGGGCAAAAGCATCTTCAAACTAAAGACTTCAAAATGCTAACTCAGAAAGAAAGAAAAAAAGCCTTTTTCAATTCTAATGAAACAGCAACAACATTTTTTTTAATTAAAAAAATAATCATGTTCTTCGTTTTCCTAATAAAATGTTAGGTTGTTTGGTGAGGTTTTTTTTTTTGCCGTTTTTTTTCCTTTGTGTGTTTCTTTTCTTTTCCCCCAAACAACCAGATTAAGTAAAATGCTGAGCGCTTTTAAAATATCAAAACTTGTTCAAGTCATAAAACAACAAAACAGAAGTTTTATTTAAAATTTTTAAAAAAAAAGAAAAAAATAGTAAATTCCCAGAAATTCAGTGTTTAGACTAGGGAATTTGATTCCTGTTTTGTCCATGTTGGTGATGTACTGTACTTCCCTTCCTTTTCTCTGCATCCCCGGTCACCTCATAGAAGACTCTTTGTTGATCATTGTATGTTAATAATGTATAAAATGGCTATCTTGTAAGCGTGCTGTCCTGGTACTAGTGTAGCGACTTTTTTTCTCCTCTTTCTTCTAGTACATATTGATAGGTATAACACAATTAAGGTTTAAAAAAATTAGACATAGTTATTCAGATTTAGGACCAGTAAGGATAGAACTTTCTCTTATTTATGAAAAACAAAAAATCCTAATAATTTTGGGGCAGTTTTTTCCTTTAATTGTTTTTCTTTCAATTTCAAGTTTAATTTTGTTTTAGCTGATCTGATGTGGTTTCAACTAACCCACGGTCTCACCATGTTAGAATGCCGGCGGACTCTACGGCATTTTGTAGATCCCCCCCACTGTGAAGGGGTGCCATACTACCTTAAATGCTAATGCTAGATATGCAAAACTGGATTTTTTTAATTTATTTTTTAAAAGAGGGAGGCATGGTATATTAAAATGATTTTACTAAGAGAAAAAATATTTTTTTAAGAATGCTCAGAAGAAATTGATAATCTGTGTGAATATGTTTTAGATGTTTATATACCTTTTGAAGAGACCCAGTAGCCCATAGCACAAATCTTGTGGAAATCCGATATGTTTTAATGTGGCTACCTAGGTTAAGGTTCACGTTAGTCCCCCCATCCATCTAGAAGTCCATTTTGAAAGATTTTTGTAAATTCTTTTAGCACTGATGTTCAGCCTTGTCTTTGTTTCAGTTAAGCTCAGTGGCGAACATGGGAACCACCTTTCGCCTTCCCTGGGATAGAAACCCTCTTGGCTGATGGCTTTTCCCCGGAGTTATCAAACAGCCACCGGGTGACTTTCTGGCTTCCAGATCCATCTGCCTGAGACCCCCGAACTCCTCCCCTCCCAAGCAGAGGAGAGTGAGTGGCATTAGCTCCCAGACCCCATTCCTGGTTCCACCTGGGCATGGGGCTGATGGAGATGACCAAGTCTTGGTCTGCTCTCTAGGAGCTCCCACGGACTTGGCTCGTGGCCTTCCTCACACCCATTGGGAAAACCAAACAGCCTCACGCTCTATCCCAGTCGCCCATTAGCTTGATTCAAATGAAGCCCCAACAGGCCTTTGCGTTTTTATCCTTCATAACCTTCATCTTAATTTGAACTTGTAGCTTGGACTTTAAGGTAGCATGGCTCTATTGCTGTCAATTTACTGTTTCACTGCACAGCAATCACAGCCAGTGAATGTTACACACATCTTGCTAGACTAGTATAAAAATCATTGGGTAATTGTTGGTTCTAATGACCTGAAAGGTGTTCAGTTTTTGTTCTTGGTTTTGTTTTGTTTTTGATTTCTTGGGGGCGGGTTTTGCTTGTTGTTCTTTTTCATTTGGGGATTTTTTTGGGGAAAAAATGTATTTTTGGTTCCAAATAGAAAAACGAAACCTATTTTGATCTTTAGTGCAAACGAGGGCTAGGGACTTAGCCTCCACCACCACCACCACCACCACACTGCTTCATTCTGCCATTCACTCACTGCAGCATATTCAAGAATCAAGCAATATAGTTTACTACATTTTTTATTGAAGGTCAGCCATGCTTTCTGTATTATATTGCATATGAAATTGTTTACAAAAGAAACACTAACTCATACTTCTCTTTATCGGTTGCAAGTGGCACACAGGGACAGGGAGAGTGGGGGTTGGTGGGGGAGGGGAGATTTTTTTTTTCTCTTCAATGTGCTTCACAAGCCAGGCTATCTTCCAAGGGAGGCAGACAGTGGGTAGAGCAGAGGGACTGACTGCAGGCAAGCACATTGAAGAGAGACACTGGCAGGTTTCCCCACCCTCACCCCAAAGCAGAAAACTAGCAGATGTCAGCTCAGCCCCATCCTGGGCACAGACACTACACAAGGAGACGCTGGAAGTTAAGCAATACTTTAATACTGTAATATGTTTGTTTTCTTTTTCTTTCTTTTTTTTTCCACCAAAAAAAAGTAAGTAAACTAAAACACAAAAACATATAAATAAAATCCACCCCTTCTGTCGGGGGCAAGGGGGGCAACCTTAATCCGAACACCTGGCTATCAAATAATCAGAATGTATTGTCTCAGACAGGATTTCAGTTCCGGGAGGCAGGGGCGTGATGGGGGAGGGGGCTGGAGGCTGAGAGACAAAAGTTCCAGAGCCTCCCTCGAAGGTTCTCTACTACTGTATTCTGTACATAATGTACCATCCCGTGTGGAATCTGTGAGTGTCCTCTTAAGTAGCGTGGGCTAGCCAATCTGCCGTTCATGGTGTATTGTAAACTCCGAATTCCATATGTAATAGGATGCAAGTCTAAGCGTTTCATGTGGACATAAATGTATCTAAATAAAACTTTCCCTAGCACTGTGGCTGACCTCACCCTTACTTTTATACTTTAGTATGAAACTGATGAGAACTTTGGTAGTGAGTATTTTTTTTATATATATACATATATATGTATCTATCTATATATATATATATCTCAAGCATCTTTCAGGTCTTTGTGTGTGGCTTTCTTAAAGCCCTGTTGTAAAAAATTACTATGTGGATGGCAGTCTCTCACATCACAGATGTGGAAAGTATAATTTTATATTTGTATTTTCAAATAAATAAGTTTGTGAAAGGTTTCCATCCTCTACTGTGGTCCAGAAATCAATGTGTTTGTCTGACAAAAAAAAAAAATAAAATAAAATAAACTGTTTTGAACAGAGTTGTTTGGTGTTCTTTCACTTGCAGAGGAGGGCTGGGGTCTGGGAGAGCTGTTGTTTTGCTTGTGGGGGAGGGTATCATCAAATCGCACCTGCCACCCTCACCCCTCAGCATGAATGTTGGCCATGGACCTCCAGCAGAGTAGAAGCCCCTGCCTTGTCCCCCAGGGAACTTGTGGCACCATTTTATGAAGTGGCAAGAGAGCACTAAGATGGAAGAGCAGATGGGAAAGTGGGGTAGATTAACAGCAGAAGGTACACAGAAGCCATGGGAAGACAGGGAGTAAACCCCAAAGGTCCTGCAGATCAGAGGACCCAAATGGTGGAAGGAACTAAGGGTCTCGCGGGTGCTGCTCTCAGTTATCAACAGCATGTGGGAGAAGGCACCAAACCACATTTCACGACCCTTGAGTAGGAGGTCTGAATAGGTATCAGACCTCTGCCTTCAAGAAGTTTAAAGATTTGCCTACTGGAAATCATTAGAATCACAAAACTAACGATACAGAGATAGATCATCTACAATACTTTCCACCCTCTCTCTACCAGGCATGCGAGAGGATACAGAAGAACTGAGACCCAGTGCATTAAGGGCAAGTCCCAAGACCTGGTGATGACAGCTACAGCATGCTCTGAACCAGAGGATTCCTCAGCTCTGAAGCCCTGGTGAGAAACACCAGGCCAAGAGGTGTGCAAGGGAGGAAACGCGGGCCTGCCAATGTCGCTTGGCTGCTTCCTCAAGGCCCCAAGGAAAGCTGTAGTCTCCAGGACATGGCCTTCTTGATTCCCTCTCCAATTTCCTGTCTCCTGCATATAACAAATTTATCTTTTTTAAAAAAATGGGTTTTCCAGTGAAAACCAGAAAGCCAGCTAGAAAAATTCTAAAAAAAACCCTGGATCCGGCCAAGCATGGTGGCTCACGCCAGTAATCCCAGCACTTTGGAAGGCTGAGGTGGGCGGATCATGAGGTCAGGAGTTGGAGACCACCTTGACCATCATAGTGAAACATCATCTCTACTAAAAATACAAAAATTAGCCAGGCATTGTGGTATGCCTTGTGATCCCAGGTACTCAGGAGGCTGAGGCAGAAGAATCACTTGAACCCAGGAAGCAGAGGTTGTAGTGAGCTGAGATTGTGCCACTGCATTCCAGCCTGGGCAACAAGAGCAAGACTCCATCTCAAAAAATAAAAATAAAAAAGCTGGAGCACTAACAACTTTTTTAAGGCATTTCTGCCACACTGGGGTCCTAGAGGAGACAGTGGAAGATGCATTCCTTTATCTGGAGCTGGAGGCAGGAGCACTGGGTTCCAGGCCCACCTCCTGTGTGTTCACAGGCAGCACTCCACAGTGTCTTGTTACTTGTTTAAGGGCAGGAGAGAAAAGTATAATCCTCAATGCCCCACAGAAATGAAAGGCCAATGGGAGCTGATGTAAGAAATCCCTTTTAGGAATTCTGAGAGAAGTGAGCCAAACACATGAAGCCAGGCATCATGGCCATCCTCCTCATCCTGATTGCTCAGCTCAAAGAAAGGGGAGGCCCAAACCCAGCCCAGGAGCCTAAAGAGAGATAGAGCAGGGAACAGGAGCACCAACTCTATGCCAAGTGGATCATACACATGCCCTGGTTAGTCCTACGTGTGCCATGTGCCTATCTACATTGTAATGCTCAAGTAAGGTGTATAATTTGCCCATGGTTGTACAGCTGGTGAGTGGCAGAATGAAATCTCATCTCTAATACATCCTGCTGCCCCCTGGGTTCAAGCCTGATGTCAGCATTAGTGTTGAGCGTGCCTGGGATGGTGGGAGTGAGGCTTTATTTAACCTAAGTGCCTACCTGAGTCAACAAAATGCGCCAAAAAAGAGGCAGAACGATGCCAAGCTAGAGAACAAAAAACTTTCCTGTTTTAGGGTTTCATGGAGAAAAAAAATTTAAAAATTAAATAGAAAACAAATCAACAAAAACTAGAAGGATAAAGAAGAAACAACAATGTAAAATAAATAATACACAAAGTAGGATGGAAGGAATCAGATGAAGTGAATCTACCATTTTCTAGATATGAATGGATCGAATTTTCTCTCATTACAAAATAGATGTGTTTAGAAAAAACAAAACCCAGTTATGTGCTATGTATAGAAACACACTTAAAAGTGATGAAAATGGCTAAAAATAAAGGGGTGACAAAGAGAAAATAGGCAAATACAAAGAACAAGGGCAAGAATTGAATGGCAGTATCAGAGAGAATAGAATTTAAAGTTAAAAACACTCCACAGCATATTATGTAATGACAAAACACACAATCTATTAAGAAGATACAGTGGCAGTAAACTCTATGTCCCAATTACCAGAAGAACGGAAGACTTTAAATTAGAAGCCACTAGAAATGCAGGGAACTCGATAAAAAATAAAAATACAATTAGATTAATATACCTCTCTTAGAACTAGATATATTTAATAGACAAAAAGACACAGTTTCAGTGCTTATATAGGTTGGGGTTAAAAAATAAATAAATAAAGATGTAGAAGAATTTAATAATGCAATTAGTAAGCCTGACCTGATGGCTCTATATAGGATCTTTAAATAGCGGTTGCACATTTTCTGGTTTCTATTCATGGAACATACAATTCAAATAAATTTTGGCTAGCTCCCCCCACCCCCCAAAAATTTAGAAACAAATAATTAACATGTGGTATAAATATTATAACCTTGTAAAAATTAAAAAACATTCTATTGGATCAAAGAGAAAAGTTAAAGATTACGAAGTGCCTAGAAAGCAACAGCAACAACAAAACACCCGTTATACCCAAACTTAATAGCATATAGCCAAAGCTGTACTCAGAGGAAAAATATAAGCTTTAAATGCCTTCAGATGGATTTGTATGTGTGTTAAGGGGAATATTTTACTTATTCTCTTTAATAAGGTAGCAAATAGCAACCAAAAATACTAGAAAAAAGAAATTGATAATAGAAGCTGAAAGCAATAGAAGAGAAAACATAAGTAAGTCCGAAAGCTGTATTTTTATAAAAAAGTAGTAAAATGGACAAATCCCCCTGAATAAAGGGGAAACAAACAAAAATATACAATATTAGGAATATGAAAGGTGATAATGGGAAAGGAATGAATATTGGCAACAAGCCAAAAAATTTAGAGGAATCAGAAAATTTCCTAGCAAATATAAATTACCAAAACTAGTAAGAAGTGGAAAACCAGGATAAACTTATTATCACAAAAGATACTGAAATGACAAAGATATAATTATGAAACATAGACTGGATCCAAATGAGTTTTATCTAACTAATAATTCCAGTGTCATTTAAACCATTCAAGATGATAGGAAAGTATGGAAAGAAAGCTCTCCTGTTTTATAAAACACAGGGCTGTGATGTCAAAACCCTATACAATAATAAAAAATATATCTACAGACTTAGGAGCTCAGATGTAAAAATTTGAAATATAATTTTAACAAGTAGAATTCTGCAACATATCGAGTATAATTTAATATGGCCAAGCAGGACTTTTTTCAAGAATTTAAAAACATTTCAACATCACGATATCTATCAACATCTGTTATACTAGCAAACTGAAGGAGGAAAACTGTATGATCATAACAATATATGCTGATAAAATATTTGAAAAATATGGCAACTCTTTCTAATAAAAACACCATGGAAAGGTTAAACAGAAAACACTGTTTACCAAAAGACTATTTGCCAAACCAACATTAATCTAAATTGTGAAACACAAAACCTATTTCAGTTAAACTAAGGAACTTGTTGTAGAGGTGCTGCTGTCACTATTAATATTATTATCTTAAACCTTTTTAAAATAAGATAAAAAGACAAACATTGGGAGGAAAAGACAAAGACGAAATTATTTCTAGAAATTTTAAGAGATTGCAGTAAAACAAAATGAATACAGAAAAATCATTACTAAAATTCAAGAAACTTTGGCAAGGTGGCTGAATATAAGATAAGCATACAAAAACCACTAGACTTCCTCCTCTCCAGTAATAAGCACTTAGTAATGGAAATAATAGGAAAAAAATATTTAGGGACAAACTTTATGAGAGGTATATGCACTATAATAATGGTTGACGTCTCCATCACTAGGGAAACTATGGAATAAAGTATCGATATACATATATATCAGAGAAAAATTAGGCAGCCATTAGAACAGGTATCCTCAGAATCTAACAAGTGGCTTGAAGAAATTTATGAAGTACCATTGAATAAGGTAAAATATCTTTGAAAAATACATATATCTGTGTGTGCCTATAAATGTACACACACAGAGACAAACTAAAACTCCTACATATGTATATGTGTGAAGATACATATATGTATATACATCACATGTATGATGACATGGGCACAAAGAAAGGGGTACACTCTAGGTTGTTTACATGAGCTCCTGGGATGTAGGGTTGAGAAATAAGATGAGTGGTAGAGGGGGATAGGAAGAGGGGACATCCCCCCAAAAATATGCTTAAAGATTTCACTGAAAATTCTGTAAGATACAGTTTTTAAAAAATTAAGTGTGAATATATGAAAACAAAAATTTTAAAACAGAAGTATTTTTTAAAGAGCTAGAATGGTCCACATTCCAGTAATTTTAATAATTACATCTTGACTGGTGAAATGGGAAATAGGTAGGTGGTCAAAGAGGATTCTGGCTTTTCCTGTCCTTTTTAAATTTTCAAAAGAAGTGTGGATTTGTATATTCAACTGAGATAAAAATTGATTTTAAAATTAGCTGTCTAAAAAGGGGAATACAAGAAAGTCTGGGAAGAGAGACTCAATTGCATGCAATGATATGTGGGTTTTCTCTTATTAATAGTATGCTCTCTCACTACATTTTAAAAGAAAAAAAGTATCACTTTTTCATTTAAAAACTATTTCCATTTTTAAATAATAAAATACGAGTTGAATTCATAGAAAAAGAAAAATGGTAAGCAACGATTTTGATAGAAGGAGCAAAAGGTAGCTAGTAGCATGCCAAAGAAGTCCTGTGATCAGGAAGCTACAGAGACAGTGATATCCCTCTGGGAGAAAGAACCTGGTTTCACGTAAGCACTAAATACAATAGGTTCAAGGCCACAGTCCTTCCTACCTTCCAAAGACAATAATGCATTTTAAATATCAGATACATTGAGGTATAAAATTACATACAATACAATGCATCCATTTTAAGTGCACAATTCCATGAGTTTTGACAAATGTAAACATCTGTTTAACTCCCTGCATAGTCAAAATAGAGAACCTTTCTCTCACTTTGGAAATTCTCTTGAGCTCCTTACTCGCATCCTTGGTTCCAGACAATAACTGACCTACTTTTAGTCACTGTAGCTTAGTTTTGCCTATTCTAGAGTTTCATGTAACTCAAATCAAACAGGATGGATTCTTTGTGTCTGGTTTCTTTTGCTCAGCATGCATTTTGAGATTCATCAATGTTTTGTGTATCAAGTACTTAATTATTTTTATTGCCAAGTTGGTTTTCTGTTATATAGGTATACCCAATTTGTTTCCAGTTTTTGGCAATTATATATAAACCCACTGTAAACATTCATAGACAGGTTTTTGGTGAATATAATTCTTCATTTCTCTTGAGTAAATATCTAGGACAAAGATATTGGGTCATATGGCAAGCATATATTTAAGTAAATTTGACCTATTTTCCAAAGTGATTGCAATATTTTGCATTCCCACCAGATATTTTTCAGAGTTGTGGTTATGTTGCATTCTTGTTTGCACTTGGTCTTGTTAGGTTTTGTTTTTCTAGTCATTCTAATAAATTTGTAGTAGTATCTTATTGTGATTTCAATTTACATTTCTCTAATGAGTAATAATGTTGAGCATCTTTTTGCGTGTTATCAACATCTGGATATCTCCTTTGATAAAGTATTTGCTCAAATCTTTCACCCAAATTTAAAATTGGGTAGGGTGAGCATGGTGGCTTATGCCTGTAATCTCAGCACTTTTGGAGGACAAGGCAGGAGGATCTCTTGAGGCCAGGAGTTCAAGACCATCCTGTGAAACATAGTGAGACCCTATCTCTACAAAAAATACAAAAATCAGCTCGGCATTGTAGTGTGTGCCTGTAGTCCTAGCTACTCGGAAGGCTGAGGTGGGAGGATGACTTGAACCCAGGAGGTTCAGGCTGCCATATGCCAAGATTGTACCACTGCACTCCAGCCTATGTGACAGAGCAAGACCCTGTCTGTCTCTCTGTATTTTTTTAACTGGGCTATTTGTTTTCATATTAAGTTTTGAGTATATGTTCTGGATACAAGTTCTTTATCAACTATGTGCTTGCAAATATTTTTCCCAGTCTTTGGCTTGTCTCTTTATATTCTTAATGTTTTCCAGATAGCAAAAGTTCTTAATTTTTATGAAATCCAATTTATCAATTTTTTAAAATTAATTGTTCTTTTAGTGTCGTATCTAAGAAATCCTTGTCTAACTCAAGGCATGACAATTTTATATTCTCTTCCACATGTTTTATTATTTTGCATTTTGCATTTAGGTCTGTGGTCCATTTTGAGTTAACATTTATGTGTGAGGTATGGGTTACAGTTTTTCTTTTTTCCGCATATTGAAATCCAGTTGTTCTAGCATCATTTGTTGAAAAGAATATCCCTTCTCCTCTATTCAACTGAGTTTTGTTGTACCTTTGTCCAAAATCAGTTGATTGTATTCATGTGGGTCTTCCTGAATTCTCTATTCTGTCTGTTCCACTAATCTATTTCTCTCTTTCTCTCTCTCTCTCCCTCTCTCTCTCTCTCTCTCACACACACACACACAACACACTCACACATCTATCTATCTATCTATATCTATCTATCTTACCATACCACACTGTCTTGGTTGTATTTTTATACTTAAATATGGAAATCAGGTAGGGGGAACCCACCAACTGTAGTATTTGTCAGTGTTGTTTCAGCTACTCTAGTTCACTTGTTTTTTATATACATTTGGGAATGAGCTTGTAGATTTTTACAAGATGATGTGGCTAGTGTTTTAATTGTAATTATGTTAAATCTATGGATCAATTTTAAGAGAATTGACATTTTTGCAACATGGAGTTTTAGAATCTATACACAAAGGACATTTCTCTGTTTATTTAACTTTATGTCATCAATATTTTTAGCTTTCAGCATATAGACCTTGAACATAATTTGTTGGACATAACTTATTTTTTTCTGTGCTATTCTAAAGAGTACTTAAATTTTTTTAAATGCCAGTTGTTCATTGCTCATTTACAGAAATACAGTTGAACTTTGTATTTTGACCTTCAGCCTTGCTAAACTCCCTTATTAATTCTGGCAGCTTTTTTGTAGATTCATTGGGACTTTCTATGTAGATAATCATACGGTCTGAAAATAGTTTCATTTCTGTCTTTTGTTAAGCTGTAAGCCTTCTGTTTATTTTTCTAGCCTTATTCACTGGCTAGGAGCACTAGTACAATGTTGAACAAGAATGTCAACAGCAACTATCCCTGATTCCTTCCCCATCTTAGAGGTAAGTGGTCAGTCTTTCACCATTGTTATTAGCTGTAAGTTTTTTGTCAATGTCTTCTATTGAGTTAAGGAGTTCCACCCTATTTCTAGTTTGCTGAGAGCATGTATGGATGCTGAGCACAAATGATTGATTTTGTCAAATGTTCTTGGCATATATTGAAATGATCATATCATTTTTATACTTTAATCTGCTGATATTGTAATTATATTAACTAAGTTTTAAATGTTGAACCAGTCTTGCATTCCCAATATAAGCCCACTGGGTCATGATATATTATCCTTTTTACGTATTGCTAGATTCCATTTGCTAATATTTTCTTAAAGATGTTTGTGTCTATGTTAATTTGTATTGTTATTTTCTTTTATTTGGTATCAGAGTAGTGATGGCCACATAAAATGAGTTGGAAAATAGTTCTTTCTCTTCTATTTTTTTGAAAAGTTTACGTAGAATTAGCCTTATTTCTTCCTTGGGCCCAATAGCAATTCATATTAGACAGTCAATTATGTTTTAGAGGGAATGAAAATAAAGGGAAACCCTTTCATATGTGCCTTTATTTTAACCATTTCCAGTCATCTTCATTTTTTGCTCGTAAATCCAAATTTTGGGGCGGATATCTTCTTTTTTGCACCTGAAGAACTTCCCTTAATACTTTTTGTAATGCATATCTTCTGGTAAGGAATTCTCAGTTTTTGTTTGTCTGAAAGACTGTGTTTCTCTTTCACTTTTGGAAGATTCTTTTGCTCGGTATAGGATTTTGTGTCGAAAGGTTTTGTTTTGCTTCCTTTCAGTACGTTAAAGATGTCACTCCACTGTCTTCAGGCTCACATCATTTTGATGCTAAATCTGTTATTTTTTCTTAATTTTACCTCTCTTTCTCTTTATCCTGTCTTTGCTTTTCAACAGTTTAATTATGATGTGTCTAGATGTGTGCATGGGCTTTTATTATTTTTTTTTTCTTTGTTTTGTTTTTTTGTTTAATTTATTCTGCTTGAGACTCTTTGAACTTCTTTCTGTTATTTCATTATTTTGGAAACATTCTCACCCATTATTTCTTCAAATATTTCCTCTGTCTCATTCTCTCTCTGGGATTTCAATTACGCAATATTTGACCATTTGATATTCTTCCACACCTCTTGGGTACTCTTTTTTTAGTCTTTTTTTCTCCTTGTATTTAATTTGTTCAATTTCTGCTGTCCTTTTTTTTTTTTTTTGAGACAGAGTCTCACTCTGTTGGCCTAGGCCAGGGTGCAGTGGTGTGATCTTGGCTCATTGCAACCTCCACCTCCTGGGTTCAAGCAATCATCCCACCTCAACCTCCTTAGTAGCTGGGATTACAAGTGTGTGCCACCATGCCTGGCTTAATTTTCGCATTTTTAGTAGAGATGGGGTTTCACCATGTTGGGCAGGCTGATCTCACACTCTTAGCCTGCCTGCCGTGGCCTCCCAGTCTATTGACCTATTTTCAAGTTCACTGATTCTTTCTTAAATTGTATCAAGTTTATGTATCAGCCAGTTAAAGACATTCACCTGTTACTTTTATATCCTAGCATTTGTTTGACTCTTTCTTGTAGTTTCCCTCTCCTAAAATTCTGCATCTATTCATGTATGTTGTTCATCTTTTCCACTCTAGCCTTTAATATAGTCACTTTAAGTTTCCTGTCTGATGGCTTCAACATCTGGGTCATATTTGAATCTGGTTTTGTTAGCTGCTGTGTTTCTTGACAGTGGGTTGTTTGTCTTGTGTTTGGTGTCTCATGACTTTTGATTGAAAGCAAAACATCTTTAGAACAGTAAAGGCTGAAGTAAATATGCATGCCTCTTTTTCTCCCAGGCAAGGGATCTGCAAACTATGGTCCTTGGGCCATATCAGGCCTGTTGCCTATTTTTGTATGGCCTATGAGTTAAGAATGATTTTTCTATTTTTTAATGTGTTGAATGTATATCAAAAGAATAATAATTATACAACACAAAACAATTATATAAAACTCAAATTTCAGTGTCTATAAATAAAGTTTTATTGGAACATAACCATGTCCGTTTATTTACATTTTGTCTATGGCTGCTTTCACGCTTCAGCAGCAGAGCTGAACAGTTGCAACAGAGACCACATGGCCCACAATGCCTAAAATATTTACTGCATACTGCTCAAAGTTTGCCTACCCCTTGATGTGGGTGGTTGAGTCAATCTAGTCAGAAGTTGACTTGGATTTGGGTTTTGCTGCTCTAGGTTTGGGGTTCATCTTCAGTGCACCACCAGCTTTAAATTCCCATAGTATTTTCTTATTCTTAAGATGGAGGCTGAGTTGCCAGAGAGTTTTTCTCAGTGTTTCTGCTTCACTCTTAGCCTTAGGCCTTCCTTGGGTGCCTGTGCCTTAGTCCTGTTCCTGGGTGTTATAATCTGCCCCTCTCCCAGCAGGAGGAGATTCTTAGTCTGGTCCCAAATGGTTTCCTTCCCTCCTCCCGAAAGCTAAGGCTTTTGTTACATGGAGGACAAAACCCAGAGTAAGCTCCATGTGTTTCCAGGCTATGGGAAAGGGGGTAATTACCAGTTTTGCCACTTTTTGGCAAAATACCTTTTTTTAAGGAGAAGGTTAAATGCAAATAAAATTAAGACATACATTGAAAGTATGTTCATGCTAAACCTATCACAGATTGTACAACACTCTGTAGGCGTAGGCAGATTAGGGTGGTTCATCAGTATACAACATGGCCTTAGAATCCCTGGCCCCTTTTTAGTTTAACCAGACTTAAGTTCCATAAACTCCCTGACTTGATAGGTCAACTGTAGTCCCAGACATCAGGTTGCTTAACTCACCCCTCGTCCTAACCAATGTATATATCCTCAAGTTCAGCAAGTACTATGCCAGTGCTTAATAATTAACGGATGCAATAAATATGTGAATTTACACTAAATGTAAGTGCTATAATTACATCAAATCAAAATCTGAGCATAGAACATGGAAAATCTTTGAGGAGACGATTGAACCCTTTGGTTTCATTGAGAAAAAATCGTTGAAACACAGCACGTCATAGCTGAAAAATCCTTTTGAGAACATCTAGTTTACCAGCTTCACTTAACCAATGAGATAACCAAGACTCAGAGAAAAGTAACACGAGAAAAGTCACACAGCAAGTTAATAGTGTGGGAACGGTTACCTTTTGAATTAAAAGTAGGGAGGAGACAGGGAGCCTCTAGGTCTTTGTGGGAGGGGTGGCATGTTGGGAGGAAGAGTCCCAGGCTTGCGTCTATTGCTAACTAGCTGTGTGGCCTAGCTAGTGTCTGTGACTCAGTCTCCCTCTCTGCCATCTATCTACCCTGTCCCTTTCCTGGGAACTATATTAGCTGAGAGATGTAATGGTGCTTCATCAAGACCTTGGGGGAGCTGTGCTACCGGGATCCTGTGGTCACCCAAGACTTGCTTCCCTCCATTTTCTGAAGATGAGGCTCAGGGCACAGCCTAGTGCAGTGAGGCAAAGAAGACAGGTCCAGAGTCCTGTCTGAACCTGGAGGTTCCTGCCCTTGACTGGTAGGCACCATCTCTTCTGTCTCCCCCACAGCTTCTGGATCAGTCAGGGTCTTATCAGGAAAACAGAAGCAGAGCTCTCTGTGAACAGAGATAAATTAACATAAGGACTTGGTTAAAAACTTCTGAGGGGCATCATAAGGATGATTCTAGGGATACTCCCCATATTAGTCTGCTGTGGGCGCTGTAACAAAATACCATACACTGGGTGGCTTCCACAACAGACATTTATTTTCTCATAGTTCTAGAGACTGGAAGTCCAAGATCAGGTTGCTGACTGATCTGGTTTCTGGTGAGGGCTCTCTTCCTGGCTTGCAGATGACCACTTTTTCCACTGTTTCCTCACACAGCTTCTCCTCACTCTGTATGTGTGCGTGTGTGTGTGTGTGTGTGTGTGTGAGAGAGAGAGAGAGAGAGAGAGACAGAACTCTCTGGTGTCCCTTCTTATAGGAACAGTAATCCTGTCGGATCAGGGTCCCACCCTTACGACCTCATTAACCTTAATTACTTCCTTAGAGTCTTCACCTCCAAATACAGCCACACTGGGGGTCAGGGTTTCAACAGAGGAATCTGGGGAGACAGACAAACATTCAGTTCCTAACACCCCCCTAAAAAGCTGATCCTATTGCCGTTACTAGGTGAAGCCTCCCTGCTGAGGCATGCTGCCTGAAACAGGAGGCAGACAGGAAGAAGGATGTCTTTCCTCCCTCCTCCCTCCCCGCCCCCATGTTGGGAAAGCCTGTCATGGATCCAGCTGGTGAAGTAGCAATGTCACGGCCCAATGTGGAAGGCTGAGCGTGGAGCTGAGAGGAACCCTCTCCAGTCAAGGCAGACCATGGAACCAGAGCAATATACTTAATAGTAAAAGCCACGTTCGCTCCCCAGGATTACCTCAAATCTTGAACATCATATTAAAGGTTTTGGAATTTGGGCTGGGCTCAGTGGCTCATGCTAGTAATCCCAATGTTTGGGGAGGCCAAGGCAGGCGATTGCTTGAGGAGTTCCAGACTGCCTGGGCAACATAGCAAGACCCCTCTCTCTACAAAAGAGTTAAAAATTAACCAGGCATGCTGGCATGTGCCTGTAGTTCCAGCTACTTGGGAGGGTGAGGCAAGAGGGTCACTTGAGCCCAGGAGTTCAAGGCTGTGATGAGCTACCATGGCGCCCCTGCACTGCAGCTGGGGCCAGAGCAAGACCTTATCTCTAAAAGTAAACAATTTTAAAAATAGAGAATTCAGCATTTGGTCAGTGGGCAGTGGGGTGATACGGGTCTGAGGAAAGGGGTGATGTGACCAGCTGTCCTCTCTTCCTTCACCCAGTCCTACCATCCTTCTTCCCCAAACTCCTGGCACACCCCGACTCTCTGCCTATATGTTGCATGCCTTCTCTGTAATTTGATACACATCAGCAATTTAATACGCAGCATGATGAGCCTAGGAGAATATTCCATGGGACCAGCGTGCAGCTTCACTGTGAGCCGGGGAGTGGGTGGCAGGTTTAGACCATAGAAGGTCCTCAGCAGATGTGTTGAGTGAGATGGGAAGTGCCTGGTCAGACCCCACCCCATCAACAGCCTGTCTTCATTCTTGCCAGCAGGACACATGCGCACACGCACACACACACACACACCTTACACACACATGCACAGTCAAATCCTCTCTCATTCACACATTCCTACACTCACCTGTGCCCTCACACTCATCTTGCACTCACCCTCTGAAACTCACACCCCTCACACACTCCCATGGACCCACTCACACTTCACTCACACTCAGCCCTCACTCTCACACCCATGGCCCCTCCAACTCCCACATTCTCACAGCTTCACGCACTCCTGCTCAGTCTTCGCCCACACTCTCTCCCCCTCACTTGAAGACACTCACTCTGTCACACTCTTGCTCTCACACTTACCCTGCCATTCCCACCTTCCCACTGCTTCCCTCACACTAACTTCCACCCCCTTGAAGTCGCCCTACCCATCACTCAGTCACTCAGTGTATTAGTCTGTTTTCACACTGGTGATAAAGACATACCCAAGACTGGGTTACTTATAAAGAAAAAGAGTTTTAATGGACTCACAGTTTCATGTAGCTGGGGAGGCCTCACAATCATGGTAGAAGGTGAAAGGCACATCTTACATGCTGGCAGACAAGAGAGAATGAAAGCTAAGCAAAGGGGGTTTCCTCTTATAAAAACATCAGATCTCCTGAGACTTAGTCACTACCACGAGAACAATATTGGGGGGAACTACCCCCATGATTCAATTATCTCCCACTGGGTCCCTCCCACAACATGTGGGAATTATGAGAGCTACAATTCAAGAAGAGATTTGGGTGGGAACACAGCCAAACCATTGAATCACACCCACCCACATGCCTTCACTCCCTCCCTCACTGCTTTCCACACTCACAGCTGTCACATTTGCTCACCTCCCTGTCTCTGGCTTGCTCACTGTTACAAGCATTGCCACACTCTCCCACAGATACCCTCTCAGCAGGATTCTGCCCTCCCACCTTCCTGTCATCCTGCCTGATCTTCAGGGCTCTCTTCCTCACTCAGCAAATCGCCAGGCACTGGACCAGCCTCTTAGGCTGAGGGCAGACTGGGAGCTTCCTGTCTCCACCCTCCCTCTGAGCAGGAGCAGCTCTGCCTGCTCTTGGTTGGATGTGAGAAAAGGACAGTGTACAGCAGACACATCCCATCCGCTATTGAGGACCCTCCTCCCTCCCTTGCCTGCTTCCACCACTCACACGCTGTGGGGCACTGGGGAGCACCTTTCCCCAGTGGCTCCCTGGCCCGCCCCTGCCTCAGCTGTGTGAGGCTGAGCCTCCCTCTCTTCACTTCTACCTTCCCTCAGCTCCCAAGACACCTCCGGTGTCCTCTGATAACATGACCCCAGTAGCAGGCCTGTTTTTGCTTTGATCTCCGTCTTGCTCTGGATAGCCCTACAAAAGCCTTTTGTCTGAAGTGCAGGGCGCACCTTACATGACTGCTTGCTGGGCTTTGGGTTGATTCTCATGGGTCTGGCTGCCCTCTTCCATGGTCCCTTGAGTTTGTGTCCCCCTTTCTGTCTCCTGTAAATGCTCCTTATTGCCTTTTTATGTATTCATTTGAATGGATAATACAGTCAAGTCATGTGTTTCAAAATTCAGAAGATACAGGCAGTAAGGTTCCCTTCTCACTCCATCCCTCAGCAGCAAGTTTCCTTTCCCCAGAGGCAATTGTTCTCTTCAGTTTCTTGTATAAGGTTCTAGCAATAGATACAAGGAAGTGTGTGTGTGTGTGTGTGTGTGTGTGTGTGTATGTGTGTGCACACGCGCTCATTTGGCCATCACTGGGACTGTGAGAGACACTCCCCGTCTCTTCTTCATTAGGGTCATTTGAGAGTGGCCCAAGCAGAAGTGCATCGGTAAGACCTTTCTCACCCTCTCACGTCATCCTCCCTATAACTATATATTATTTTCTGAATGTCTCGGGCTCTGCCCCCCTCAAATCTAAGAGATACTTCCGCGTGCTAAGCCTTCATGCAGTGTTATGAAGGGTATAGTATTATCCCCTTTCCCTCAAGACTCTTATCACTTCCAGTTGGCTGGTCAGTTCTTTGATGGTCAGAATTGATTTCAGAGTGGCTGATCCACTGGTCGTTTTCTCTGCCCTCCTGGGAGATTAAATTGTTGGGCAAGTTGAAAGCAATCGTCCAAATAGACGCCTCTTTGAGGGCCATCCCTGTGTCTGCTGATGTCCTTTGCCAACCCTCCAAAGGTGGATGGGGACAAAGGAGCCCCCCCCAACCCCACGGAACAACGGATGGGGCACATGGCCGCATCAACCAGCCTGGCTGTCCTGCTGCCCTCGCCACCCCTGGTTAATAGCCAGGACACATCAGTGGGCACTGTCTGAGGAAGGAACAGGCGAGCCACCCGCAGCCTCCCAGCTCAGCAATCATCGCTGATTAAAAACTAGTTACAAAGCAATGAAGATGGAATCCTGCATTAACCAAATGACCCCGTCCATGGCCAAGCCCAGATAGATGGGAGTGATTATGAAAGCATCACTCACAATGTCAGCAAACATTAACGGCTGTGTGAATTTCCGGGAGATTTACGGGGTAGTGACAGCATTTGGCTGGATGGGACTCTGGCTCTTTGCTTCATGCCTCGATGTGCCTGTGTGTTTATGGGCTCTGGGGGGCTCAGCCTATTCAGAGTGGTCTATCTCGGGTGTGCTTTTACGTGGGTTTAATCTGAACATGCTGGCTTGTGTAAAGTAGAAATGTATTGTATTGCCAATTTTCAGAGAATCTGAATTAGCTCAGCTATTCTGAACATAATTTAATCTTTCTTTAATGATTCAATAGGTGCTTTGAAGTCTTGCACTAATCAGAGTCATGGTTATGAATATCAGAACTTGATATTGAAGAAACGTAAAAGTGCTCATCAAAGAACCAGGTGATGGAAATGGCAGGAAACAGCATAAGTGGATGCTTCTGTGAGAGTGCAGGTATGACCATGCGTGTCGGTGGGCATGTGGAAGCCTGGTGTGATAGGAGGTCTAACTGGGATAATGTTGACCTCGCCACAGGTAGTGAATGACCCTATCAAAAAGTCAGCCTGGGCCAGGCGCAGTAGCTCACACCTGTAATCCCAGCACTTTGGGAGGCCGAGGCAGGCAGATCACCTGGGGTCAGGAGTTTGAGACCAGCCTGGCCAACATGGTGAAACACCATCTCTACTAAAAACACAAAAATTAGTTGGGCATGGTGGCAGCCACCTGTAATCTCAGCTACTCGGGGGAAGAGGGCAAGAGAATTGCTTGAACCATTGAAGCAGAGGTTGTAGTGAGCCGAGATTGCACCATTGCACTCCAGCCTGGGTGACAAGAAGGAAACTCCATCTCAAAAAAAAAAAAAGTCAGCCTGCTCCCACACCTCCCAAGGAGAATTTAGTTTTTGCTAATTTGGGCCTCAGTTGAGCAGATTTGGAGTGAAGGGTGAAGAGGAGAATTCCCTCCCCAGAAAAGGCCCAAGACAGAATCCCCTTTAATAGGTAAAAGAGAAATAAGCAGATATATAAGGTGGGCAAGGGGAGACCAGAGCTGGGTTTAGAAGAAGGAAGTGTTAGGAGTGCTAGAAGAAGGAGTGTTAGGGAGCAGCTTCCATGATTGCAAATATACATGTGAGCATGCACATAAAGTGGAAAGAGTGGCATCGCCCCCATTAGGCTGCTCTGAGATCAAAGAAGCCCACATGCTTTGCTGTGGACTGAATGTTTGCATACCCCTGGAATTCATTTACTGAAGTCTAAATCCCCAGTGTGATGGTATTTGAAGGTGGGGCCTTTGGGAGGTAATTAGGTCATGAAAATGGAGCCCTCATGAACGGGAAGAATCCCTGTATAAAAGAAATTCCGACAAGCTGCCTTGCCCCTTTTCTGCCATTTGAGAATATGGTGAGAAGGCACTGTCTGTGAACCGGGAAGCGGATGCTCACCAAGCACTGAACCTGCTGGTGACTTGATCTTGAATTTCCCAGCCTCCAGAACCATGAGAAATAAACATCTGTTGTTTAAGCCACCTGTAGACAATGTCTGTTGTCTATGGTATTCTGTTTTAGCAGTCCGAAGAGACAAAGACATGCTTCTTCTCTCCTTCTTTCTCTCTAGGTCTCTGGTGAAAGAAAAATTTGATAGAATCACCAATTGAAATTTTTTTAATAACTTTGGGAAATTCTTAAATTGCCTTTCAAGGGCCAGGCGTGTTAGCTCACATCTGTAATCCCAGCACTTTGGGAGGCCAAGGAGGGTGGATCACCTGAGGTCAGGAGTTTGAGACCAGCCTGGGCAACGTGGTGAAGCCCTATCTCTACTAAAAATACAAAAAATTAGCCAGACGTGGTGGCAGACACCTGTAATCCCAGCTGCTTGGGAGGCTGAGGCACAGGAATCGCTGGAACCCAGGAAACGGAGGTTGTAGTGAGCCGAGATTGTGCCACTGTACTCCAGCCTGGGTGACAATATGAGACTCCATCTCAAAAATAAAAATAAATACATAAGTTGCCTTTCAATAATATTTGACTATAGAAACCTCTTTGAATATACCCCTATGTGGAAGCAGGGCAATAAGTCAGAAACAAGAAGGGCTGTCTGTTAGAGTAGTACCATTCAGGGGCAGCTGCATAGCCCAGCCTACCTCCACTGGGCATCCCCTTTCCCCAACCCAGGAAAGAGAAGGCTGGGAAGGAGGTTGTACGTTGGAGCTGGGGATAGAAGGCGGGGTGGGGGCAGGGTCAGCCAGTGCAGGAACATAGGGAAGGAATCAAAGGTGGCTGGGTGCAACAGGTCATGCCTGTAATCCCAGTACTTTGGGAGGCCAAGGTGGGAGGATCACTTGAGGTCAGGAGTTCGAGTCCAGCCTGGCCAATATGGTGAAACCCCGTCTCTACTACAAATACAGAAATTAGCCAAGAGTGGTGACAGGTGCCTGTGATCCCAGCTACTTGGGAGGCTGAGGCAGGAGAATGGCTTGAACTGGGAGGCAGAGGTTGCAGTGAGCCGAGATGGACTGGCCAATAGGGTGAGACTCTAACTCAAAAAAAAAGAAAAGAAAGAAAAGGCCAAGGGCTTCATTATCAAAGGACCCAGTGGTCCTGACTCTGTGGCATTGCAGGCCAAAGTGAATATCTGTTTGCCAGTGCCCAAATTCTACCCCTACCCCATCCTTGACTGTCCCTCACCCACACCTGCCCAGGGCCCATCTATCTAAGGATTTGAGGAATCCAGAGGCTCTTCCCTTCATTTATGTGGTAGTTACACTTTTGGAAAAGTCACTATATACTGAAATTATGCAAAAAATACTTTTAAAATATTTTTAATGTTTATTTTAGAGACGGGGTCTCACGTATTGCCCAGGCCGGTCTCAAACTCCTGGCCTCAAGTGATCCTCCAGTGTTGGCCTCCCAATGTGCAGGGATTGTAGGCATGAGCCACCATGCCCAACCACAAAAAAGTACTTTGAGTTGGCTGTTAAATAAATTTAGACAAAAGGCCCAGATGATTATAGATTGGTTTCTCCTCTACATGGATATCGTGTGGAACCCTTGAAGGGCTCTGCTACAGATTAGGGGCCTAGCCCATGCCCTCCCACTGCTGACCTCTCAAGTGATACAATAGCCACTAATGTCCTCCCCAGCCTCACTCATCCTCCCACCATTGCCAGAGCAGGCATTCTGCACCACCAGCCTAACTGTGACATTGCCCCTCAAACCCTTTATTAGCTCCCCATACCCACAAAGAGGTTCTCAACATTGGCATTTGGAAGTTTCTGGGAGCATCTTGATGGTCACAAGGATGGGAGACCTCTGCCACCATTTAGGGGGCAGGGCCAGAGATGAGGATGCCCAAACTGTATGGGCCAATCCCATATGAGGACAACTTGTCCTGGGTTCCTCGCACCCTTCAAGGGACCAACACGATATCCATGTAGAGGAGAAACCAACCTATAATCATCTGGGCCTTTTGCCTAATTTTATTTAACAGTCAACTCAAAATATGTTTTGCATAATTTCAGTATACAGTGACTTTAGCAGGAGTGTAACTGCCACATAAATTAAGAGCATGCTCTGTTTTGTTCAGAACTTCACCAAGAGTTATTCACCATTTCAGAAAATCAAGTCACCAACAGCAAATGACCCTTGGCATATGTCTGTACTTAGAATGTCACATTCACTGGGACTACACGTGTAGGAGCAGGCATCTGACTATTATGTCCTCTAGCACAGTCACTCCCAAATATTTACATATTAAAATACGTATTATTTTATTGGGCCAGATGCAGTTGCTCAGGCTTGTAATCCCAGCACTTTGGGATGTCAAGGCAGGCGGATCGCTTGAGCCCAAGAGCTTGAGACCAGCCTGGGCAACAGAGTGAAACCCTGTCTCCACAACAAATACAAAAATTAGCTGGGCATGGTGGAGCACACCTGTGTTCCCAGCTACTCGAGAGGCTGAGGTGGGAGGATCGCTTCAACCTGGGAGGCGGAGGTCAGTAAACCATGATTTTGCCATTGCACTTCCAACCTGGGCAACAGAGTGAGACTCTATCTCAAAAAAAAAAAAATCGTCTTATTTTATTAAATAATTTACTTCACATTTCTCCTTTATATTAAGGATTATTATACCGATTTTAAAAAAATACATGTATACCTAAGTTATGTTATTTGTGGGTTTTCTTTCAAGATAGAAAAGGGGGCATTACAACATGTTTTCGTATAAAGGGTGTGTTGGTTCTGATAGACTTGAGAAACACAGGCTCACAGACTACTGCCAATGCCCCAGGAGGGTTTCCAGACCCTTCTGATCCAGCTCCTGTCTGTGCTCCAACCTCATTGCCTGCCACCTCTCCAGCCTGGCACCCTGGACTCCAGCTTCTCCAATACAAACAGTGCCATGGATACAGCACAGGTCTCAACATCCCTGTGACTGACTGGGCTTCCTGCCTCAAGCCGCCTAAAACCACCATACTCACCCCTTATTATGCCTCACACAGAGAACCCACAACAGAAGGACAGGGTGGCATCCACCCACCTGACCTGCTCCTTGGGACCCAGTCACCCCTTATGAGCTGTAACTCCATAGCCGGGTATCCCAGGTAGGCACTCAGGAAAGCAACTGAATGACAGTGCTGCTCCTGATAACGATACATATGATACATGTAATAATGCCCAGGTATAGTGCATGTGACACACAGGATAGTGTGTAGGTATATGCGTATGATACATATAACAGCATATAGGTATAGTACATGTAATATGCATGATGGTAGAATGTACAGGTATAGTGCATGACACACAGGATAGTGTGTATGTATATGTGTATGATACATATGACAGCATATAGGTATAGTGCAAATATATACCCACAAAGAGGTTCTTAACATTGGCATTTGGAAGTTTCTGGGGGCATCTTGATGGTCACAATAATGGGAGACCATAATAATGGGTCACCATTTAGGGGGCAGGGCCAGAGATGAGGATACCCAAAGTGTGTGGGCCAATCCCACAGGAGGACAACTTGTCCTGGGTCCCTTGTACCCATATGACATATATATGACAGAACTGGGTTCAAGGGACCCAGGACAAGTTGTCCTCCTGTGGGACTGGCCCACACAGTCTGTATGTGCACTATACCTATATGCTGTCATATGTATACAGGTGATAGTGAATATGTATAGGTGTCACATATGTGATACACATGATAGTGTATAGGCATGGCACACATGATGTCCATGATAGTGTATGTGTAAAGTGGGGGTAATACAGTTTGGTATCTAAACTCTTCTTCACCACAAATCACCTTTCATTTGGGGGCACAACAGAGAGTCACACCCTGGGTTGAAAATCTGGAGTCCAGGTGGCCTCAAGATGGAGGTACTCCTCTTCCTTCAGCTCAAGCAGCCCCTTTTCTGGGCTGCCTTCCCCATTCACCTGCCCACTGTGTCCAACCAGG